GATAGAGAAAATCAATGTAATTCCTGGAATAAGTGACCATGATATAGTCTATGTAGAGGGTGATATAAATGCCATTCTCCATAAACAACAGCACCGAAAGATATTCTTGTATAAGAAAGCTGACTGGGACGGCTTGAGAAGTCACATGGCTGCTGAAGCTACTGCCCTCCTTCAGCAGTCCTCCGAAGATCCTACACCCACCGTAAATGAATTATGGATGCGATTCAAAAACAAGCTCCAACCAGCTGTCGACAAATTCATTCCATTCAAAATGTCCAGGAGCAGAAACAAGCTCCCCTATGTAGACTGTAAGCTAAGGCGGCTTATAATAAGCTACATCGGAAAGGAGACCAAAGGTACAAAGTAATCAAACACACTGTTCAGAGAAGGCTAAGGGCAGCTTACTGGAAATATGTAGAGGAAGTGATTACCCCGAGCGATGACACAGCCGAGGCAGCATATGGATCAAACAAACGTCTCTGGTCATTATTCAAACATGCAAAWTCTGACTCTTCAAGTATACCATCTTTAAGGTATCAGGAGGGGTTCACGACCACTACTCACGCAAACGCAAATTACGCKCCGGCTTTGTAAAATACTTCAATAAAAGTATATATTTTTAAGAAGCTAAATAAATGTAGTTTTTGAAAATTATTTCGAAATTTTCATAACTTAAAACGCCATAAAGATATTCCGCCTAAAGCGTATTTTGACCGGACCTTGTTTGAATTGCCTCAAAATTGTCAGRATTGCCGTCTTAGCAATGAAAASCWYGTTAACACYTKCCTTATACATTAAACTTCAAAACCGTGTCGGCGATTTTTCATCACTGCTTTAGATCAGCCGCTACAGAGTCCCAATTATTGATCATTGAATTTAYCGTGTATCAGTGTACAAACTGGGCAATATCTAAACAACGAAAGCGAAAATCAAAAWTCGCCGACACCRTTTTTTAGTKCCAGATTGGATKTCTATTCTTGCGAATTTTRAAAACAAAATCTTTTATTGCGGAAAAGTTAGAGCGCTTCAAATGTACGATTTTTCTCGTTTCAAAAACGCCAGATAAACGTGTCTATTCATTTGGGCAAGAAAACCACAGGGGTGTTTACACAACACCTCAGATCTGTCAGCATCATGTCATTATGCCTGGCTATTCTCAGGATATGTTCCTGGCTTTGTATAGTAATGTGAGAGCTTTACAATCATTCTCGGCAAAGGTCAAGAAAGTACCTTCGATTCTATATTAAATATTATTTGTGTTGTAACGAGTCTATAACCATGCCCAGAAGAAGAAGGCAACAATCAGCGAACGGGGGAAGCGAGTTCGGAACAAGTCCCCGACAAGTTGTTATAGAGCAGATGAGAGCACATGGGTGAGTAGCTAAGCGTAATTTACCCGAATTCTTTGGTATATATAGCTTCATCAATACCGTGAAAAAAAGTAATTTTGGTAACACTTTGTAGTTCAACGTCAGCATTACAAATTCTTCTTTATATTTAGATTTGACGGCGAAGTTTTTGCCGAAAACTTGGAGACAAGTACCTACCAACGCAAAAGACGCGGGAAACCAGCAAGGTTGAACCGGTATTTTCACTATTGCTCTTGGGCACACGCATTGATGGTAATTATGCCATACACATTATTAAAAYGAATTYATTCAATACGATTTGTTATCGGTTTAGTAACTGAACGTCTTCTCTTGCTTGATAGGAAAAGAATATTGGCCCAGCAGGAGCAGAATATACGTTTCCGTCGAGTGTCTTGGCATTTATACGAGATCTTGTACCAGGAAACGTAAAGGGTGAATTTCGCGAGGTATGTTAGTGGTAAAAGTAACTTATGTTTAGTTTATTGTSTTCAATCAAGCCATGTGCGCCTCAATTGATATAATAATTTCGTTTCAGCATGCTTACTTGGTTTCAATGCAAGAGTTCTGCGAAGCAATGGAATTGCCAAGTTATTAGCTGTGATGTAAACCGTAGAGTGCATTCATTATATCCATGAAACACTTTGCTAATGAAATTGTGCCAATTTTTAATTAGACCTTTTCCTTTGATTGTTTACAAGTGCAATTTTGTGCAATTATGTCAATTATTTGCAAGGTATTTCACGTCTATAAGAAATTGACTCTATTGCGGGATGTTCATAGTCAAATAGATGAAAATCATTGTAGTGTTTTTAGTGAAAGCGTGAAACACCATTTACTAAATTGTTCACAATTGTCCTAGTTGAACAATGGAAAACAATAGAATTAGGCTAAACTAGTTCAACATAGCATTACTAATTTTTCACGCTTTTACTAAATGCACTCTGTCATAGAAATAGCATTTTTT